CGAGCAAGGCAAGGACCTACCATAACTTTAGACCCCCCCGCCCTTCCCCCCGCGGATATGTCCCTGCTTACATTGTGACACTGCCTCAAAAACTGCACTGAACCTAAACATATAACTCCAATCAGGCTTAGGAGACTGGAACTGAACCCAAAGATGGCGGCCGCTGGAAAAGACCTCATTCGCTGTCGTGTAAGGCCATTCGGAATATAACTTCAACAAATCGCTTGATGAATTCTGTCCATCACGAATTTCAAGGGTAGTATTCCTATTCCCATCACTGTCGTCAAAGTTGTAGGATATCAAGCTAAACCTCACGAAGAGACCTTCCGGTACTGTTATGATCCAAGTACACATCTTGCTTCTAGGAGGAGTGCCAGGAGGAAACTGGGGCGAGAAAACTTTTCCAGTGTCACCAGTTATAGGAATGACGTTATCAACTCCGTCGAGTTTGCACGGTCCCACAGCCGCTGTCAACGAAAGTGGAGATGACTTTAATTCTTCACAGAGAGAGATCCATAATTTTGAAAGTAACGTGGGGTGCTGATTTGTGTTTAAATAAGCTAAAAGGAATTCGGATTTATCTACAAGAACAACAGTTTCAGTGAAAAGTGAAATGAACCGTTCTCAAAAAGAAGATTACAGAGTTAAAGAAATACGTGAGGCTAGTGAGAAGCAAATGATGCCTAGGTTATCTTCCCTATACAACAGGACAAGCACCTAAAAAATTTAAGTCAGGTCATAAAATTCAATCTAAAAATAGTTACACGCTATGCTAAGAAGTAAAAACGATAATCTTACGTACGATCAATATAACAAGCAAAAAGTTAGGTTAAAAGGCCCAAAAGGTCAATTTCGTTACATATTTTTTGAAGGCCTTAAAAGTTCTGATAGTTCTGTCTGACTGGCAGGTTCCATAACTTTGGTACTAGGTAACGTCACGATTTAGGTCCGTAGGTTGTGGTGTTGACCTTAGGCAGCTTTAAAATGTCAGTTCCCCTCAGATCATGTGTTCCTAAAATCTAGTAACTTTTTATGCTTTTAGGAGCATGATCGTAATCAATAATTAAAAACAAATTGAACGGAGTCTGTTCAATTTGTTATGTGCCCAACATGTGATTGACCAAAACCTGTTTCCTAGAGTTGGATTGGAACTTTGTAATACCTCTAAGAAAATATTCGAAACATAGAGATCTGACCGAAAAATAAACCCGCTTTGACCGCGGTAATACTTACGGTCGGGGAATACAGTATAGCTTGCATGAAATCCTGTGAATCCTCCTGATCTATCACTCACGAAATCCACGTAGACATTTGAATATGTTGACCGAATAACAGGGGGAAGAGAAGAACCACAGAATCTGCCAATCAGGTCACTCATCGCCAAAGTATAGAATGAGCCTTGTTTAACTGTTACATAATCTGCCTCGCAATCTTCAGAACTCTCCAAGTTGAAGGAATGAAACGTCAACTGGATGAGATAACCAGCCGGAGCGTTGATTGCCCAGGAACATTTAGCTCCGTTAGGGTACAGATGGGGATAATTGAAGCTTGCAAATTCACCAGACGTTTTATTCAAATGCATGTCCCTATTGTTTAGACAGGAGTATGGGGCAGGGAGTTTACTAACGGCCTCGTACGTCGCAACAAAGCCACCCTCCATGAATAAAGCTGAAACTAACATATTGTTTCCCTTTGAATAAACAACCTGCTCATTCTCGTTTTGGTTATAACAGAACTTTCCCAACAATATTCTTTTGGAACTTGTTACGTCAAAAACGTACGCATAGTTTTGCTTGCATCCTGATGCCCTGAAACTCCAAAATGTAAGCTTCACAAACTTTCCAGGAGATACGGTGATGTTCCAAAGGCAAGCCCCTTTCCCCCGGTATTCGGGAAATCCCGGAGTTGCAAAGCTCATTCCTTCACCAGCCATGTGGACAGTGGTGTTTTCTTGTGGATTGCAAGTTCCGGATGAAACTAAATATTAAGAACAACAGGAGCAACAAATCACAATTTGAACCTTACTGATAACGGGAAGTGAACCATAGTCAGTTGACACTACAATCCAAGGCCATCCGCCATAGAGTTTCCCATCCCCTGAACGACCTAATTTTCTGTTTTATTTTTCCTTTCATTTTTTTTCGTTCTTTCCCTCTAAATAGATTATTAGACATTTTGCTGTGGAGAGTCACGCTACATTTTTACGAGTCTTGTGGTATTTTGGCGAACCTGTGGGCAAGTCGAAATACAAATAACGAGTGAAAATTTACAGAAATACTTCACACTAAATTGACTAAAACGAGATTTATGAACCAACGTTTACTAAGACGACTACAACTAACCTGTCAAACCAGTTTCCTGGCGTGCTAATACCGTGAGACTCATGTGTCTATTGAATATCTAGAAGTGCATTCGATAACGCTCGTCCGATATCTTTCAAAACGTCAAAACGCTGCAAAGAGCTGGAAAAATA